GTTAATCTACTCGTAGGGGTAGTATGACTAACAGAAACATTTACAAGATTTCACAGAATATAAGCTGCACAGTACTATTGACAAAACTCATTGAATTCCCCTAAAGCTGTCACAACGTGTTATCAGATTCTGTTTATTATCACGACAGTCAAACTATTCGTGTCAATTCAGAAGCACAAAAATCACAAAACTATATTTTTCTTGAGTTATTTTCACTATATTTTGCTACATTTTCAAATAACAAATCTATTAAGGTAACAATGTCAATTTATAAATTATTATGACATAACGCAAATATATTATTAATAAAATACTATTCAATTGTTCATATTTGCAATACATTCAAAACGTGTATATAACATAACATAATATAGTGTATTTGTCCAAACAAAATAATTTGATAAATGTTGAAAACGTGAATAATTTGTGCATTGTTCAGTTGAAAGCGATTCATATCCAAACTAATGTTTTGTGAAAGTTAAAGGATTATAAATGGTGTATCTACAATATTTGTTCATGTATGTATGTCATGTGTAGGTACAACAGAACAAGAAATATTGAGTTTTTTTCGTATGGCTCTTAATTAATCTGGTTGCCAATTTGGGTGTCATTAACGTAAATAACGTTAATAAATTTATTGTATTTTTGCTTTTTCACTGACATATTCTCTGATTCCTTGTATACACCATACGATAGCGGACACAGTGAATATTCCATTGAAAATCTGTGCTTTGGTTGATATCTGTCCAATTCCTAATAAAGGCGTTACGGGCGTTGTCAACGTAGCGTCACACAATAAATATAACGCACAGCGAATGAATTCCAGTAAAGCTGCATAGGGCCTAAACAGAAAATGAACAGAACGAAAAAGTGATGCAATAGTTTGCGCCTTCTAAAATCGAAGCGCCACTGTAACGCAATAATTACATATATGGTGTGAGCAATACCATCCACATATGCAATACTTTTTGGCTGTGTAGTCAGTCGTCTAAAAAAACATTAATTGTATTTACTGGTGATCACATATGAAAACAATATCAGCGTTGTAAACGGTGCCATTCTCATGAACGGTGTATTATAAATATGCATGTATGAGTTTGATATTTAATAAGTTTGCATGAAGGATCATTTAATATGTGTCTGTATGTTTACTTGTGATTACTGTATATGAGTACAATATTGACTATACTGGCAGCTGACATATATAGCAATAGTCTTATCTAATGGATGCGCAGGGACGTGTCTTCTGATAGTACAATATATGGACAAAATATACATGTTGACTACTACATATGTAATATACAGCTTGTTTCTTACTTTTTGTCACATATAGCACCAAAACTCGTAAGTGATAGTATCATATATCCCAAAGTACAGAATAAAACACTTTGTAATAATATCTAGAAAGAAAGAAAACGATAGTCAAGGCTATGTTTGGGGTTCATTTATGTTAACAATTAATTTGAAATTCCATAAATTAATGGATGGGACAATATATAATAAATATATGTTAATAATTGGCCAAATATACAATATATCATTTCTAATCCATATACTAGACTAGTCGGAATTCGCCTATATTACGAAGTACACAGTATAGTACCCCGTTATTCGTAATGTCTAGCTATTTTGAATAGTTACATAAAAGTTCATAAAAAACTTACTTCTCGTCCGTTTGAAAGATCGGCTAATAACAAATACAATAATGCAAAATGCAGTATAAGATAACCATCAGCCCACGAGGAATGTCTACTGTCATATCTAGGCTCTGGATACTTCACCTGCAAAAAAAAAAACTTTTGTATTATGTATAGTATATATTTTATTAGGAATATTGTATAACAACAGTATACACATATAAACTAAGTTTGTGTAAATAGATCCAGGTGCAGCCAGTTGGGATACAAATATAATTGAAACAAATCACTTACGCCATCATATATCAGTATTGCAAAAATGCACTATATTCATAAATGCATGTCCCAACCAGCTACATTGGACATAGTAGAAGTGAGTGTGCTCCTCAATTCATTAATAATAAATGTTCTCTGTGAAAACTTATTTATTTTGATGAAACATACGCTGAATTCAATGAATGGTCATTCACGTGGAATTACAAACGTATAGGATTATAAAAACGTTTTTTACCAAAGAAATAATTATGTGCTCTGTGTTTGTGTTCGCATTGTTGAAAAGAAGTACCTGCACACGAACACACTTCACACTTAGTTCACCTTTCTGTTGAATCAAGGAAAATTAGACAACTAACTACTGTTATCCCTAACGGCTGCAATATCAACATATCTGGTCTATTCCTGGGTGTAGTGAAGTTAATGTGATTGGACTCATTGCCAAATCAGTACAAGACATGAGCGATATCATGGCCAAAGCTCTACCAATTTTACTTATAATAAGCAATTCAATTTGTAGGTCTTGACACACGAGTTTCACTATTTGCTTGCAATCAGTGACGTACAACGTTAAAGATTATGTATACATGTACGTAACTTGTAAGTTTCTAACAATATAGTGTTCTTTGTAAGTCACATTATTGTTGATGCTTATTAAAAAACTTGGGCTTACTGGAAATTTCATTCTTTCATGATATATACAATCTAATCAAAGAAGAAATGGATGAATTGCCCAGCTTGTATTGGATACCCAAACTCCATAAAAACACACACAGCTAGATTTGTCATTTGAAGCTTCAATCAAGAAGTCTGAAATATTAATTTTATGTAATATGAGTCTTTTAAAAATAATGTTATGTCACATTTTTATAAGCGGTATGAAACAAATATGGATAAGGTTTCCAATAAACCTTAGGGAAAATTAAAATCAAAATCACTTTCAAATGTGACTTCAATTAAAACGTTTGATTTGTCCACCCTGTGTACTATATCATATAATAAATTTAATCATTGTCCATCAAGCATTGTAATATAAAACGGTTCACGAATATATAGTTATTAGTTACTGATGCAAAACACTGCACTAAATTTAGTGACATTTAGTATACTAACATTTTTTTTATTGATGACATATTTGTGTAGCTTGGAGGACATAGTATGAGTGCAAATTGTGCTCCCTTGCTGGCCGATTTCTTTTTTTTTTGTATGAAGCTGAAATTCCCCGTATACGACTTTTGTTGATTAATCTACGGATGGGTCTATTATTTCCATTCATTTATTCATTCATTCATTCATTCATTCATTCACAAATTCATTTACAAATTCATTCACAAATTCATTACCTTTGGCAAATCTTCAATGAGACCACATCTTGGTTTCCCAGGCTCCCATCCGGGTCCTTTGAAAACAACTGACAGTTTATTTCCCAATCCTGGTAAAGTGCAGAACATATTCCACATATGCATCAAATGACAAAACTGAAATATAAAATCAAAATATGTAAGTATGAAACATTTGTTTATATAAATTAATGTTTTTTTCAGTGAACTACAAATCAAAGTGCATGTCTTCGAGTTCAAAATTAAAACTAGAATTGTATGTTTACACAATTGTGAATGGCTTGCTTTGCAAATAGAAATATCCACAATATTTACCTCACATAACGTCTCATAAAAGCTATATTTCAGAAAACTATCTTCTACAGAATGAAGTTTCAAATCGAAAATGTAATTATTACATAGGCATTATATTATTATTACAGGTATAAACGAAAAGACTTAACCAGTCGATGCGACAACGTACTGGTGTACTGGTATTATTTTCGCTATGAATATTCTTTTGAAACACGCCTCTAATTTTGAGTTGATTGTTCTTTTCAAATTTGCATATGAAAAGACGAATCAGCAGAATTACAAGTTGTATGTTATAAAGTTACACTGAACATATAAAGATTAAAACATGAAATGAAAAGTGTTAATCTTTAAGTACAAGAGCTTGACAACATTAGGTATATTAATTGATCAATGAACGGCTACGTTGAGCAGGTATTTACATTATTGTATAAATATCATTATGAATTTGTAAAAATAATCATGTAAATAATATTTACCTGTATATAAATAGGATCCCAAGAAGCTATCGGATGTACTAATCCATACACAATGCGGACTTTCTCTGGTTCAAATGTACCTAATAAACAAGAACCCATCCTCATATATATTAATTTTGAAAAAGTTTTTTTTAATGGTCACACCAGAATAGTGCTGAATAACAACTAAATAAATTTCTATTTCAAAATCATCGGAAAATTAAACAAATATAACAGAAACAAATACGTATGAAAGACCATCATGTTGATACAACTATGCACTTACCAAATATTCTGTCCCATATAATCAACGTTCCTGCATAATTCTTATCAATACAATAAGGGTTTCTTCCTAAGATGATTATATATATTATATACTATATGATTCAGTCAAATTCTATTTTATACAACTTTTTAATTGTACGAACTGAATTTGTTTTATACACGGGCACGAATACATAGATAAACATTATGAAATAAACATGATGAGGAATATATATGATATAATATTTCAAATGCTGATGTAACTTGACCATAAAAAGTGTACTTCATTATGAAACTTGTCATGAAATCGAAAATGTATGTAAATTTAAGACATCTACTAACCATGGTGTACTCTGTGGTGACTTGGTGTGTTAAGAATATACCCAAGAGGACCAAGAGATGTAATCAACTGTTAGTAAAAAAAATTAATGAAATAATTCCCAATCGTATTCCCAATAAAATACATTCAGAGAAAACGCAGGTAGACTGTAACAACTGGCGTACTATTTACGAATGAAGTAAACTCACCTCTGTGTGTATCCAAAATTGATACAATGTATTAAACTGTATATGTACAAAAGCAGTTGATGGCGATACAAACAGTGCCATTGGTACGTAGAAAATCTAAAAAACAATGATTAATTAATTGCTATTATCTTAATTATTGTTTTATAAAATTATTACTTTATTAATCTGAACCACGGTTACCGTGTCTGAACCTATAACTTCTCCGCTGACAACGGCTTATATTATAAAAATAATGACCCAGGCCAAGGTATATACCTCGCAAGCCTATTAGCCAATCAGATTTGCGCAATTGGTAGTTCATATATTTGTGTATTGACTTCTAAGAGGTCATATTATCCTTCTGCGTTTGCGCAGACGTTATGATATATCTTAAAAAAATGCTAATTTAATAATTCGTTGTGTATCGCACATACATGTGAGTTTCATTGAATTGTTCATTTAACCTGAAACATGTTGTTATATTGCGTTTTATTTAGCTCTGAGTGACCCCAGTGTAGTGTACTGATTTTGTTTGTGTATGTGCGCGCGCGACATGTGTGAACATTGCTGCTTCTAAAATGTCAGAATGGCGTCCGTAGCTAGTTGATAACTACAAAAATCTGAAATGTTACAGTAATTCTCACATTTACATACATTGGACTATCCTATAAGTACCATTCTTTATAAATAATACTTATAATTTTATTTGCTAAATCTGAATCAGACAATCATCAAATGTTGATTTAACAAAACCCAAAATTTTGTATTGAAAATGCACGTTCACCTTGTTTTGATATTTTGTAAATAATTTAAGTTTTCCGAAACAAATAAATATAATGACACCGGGGTACTTGTTAAATCCTGCAATGTGTATTGAGCACGTAGAGTAGTTAATGACACTTACCCACGATGTGTATCTCTGTAGAATACTCTGTCTTAAAGCTGTGCCCAAATTATAGTCTTCTGAACTGTGATGAACTTGATGTGCGGCCCACATGAAATTTACTTCTGTGATGAATAGATGCCACAGGAAAACATTGTCATTCACAGTGGTTATAAAGCTTTCATAAATGTTGTAGTGTGAATGAAAAGCTCACGTACCATAATCAATCATTAACGTAAATTCTAACACCATAAACAAAGTATTAACCATATGTGTAGGTGTACATTTAAATGGAAAACAAATATGAAGCAAGTGTGACAGCAAGTGACACTGAATGAAGTAAATACCGTGTGCTAATCTGTGGAACCAATAATATCCTAAATCGACACCGAGAAAACATAGTAACCATCCCCATGGTGAATTCCAAGGAATATCAACGACACGATAATTATTGTAAATCCAGATGTATACAACAAACTCCGCAGCGTGGACAAACATCCTATAGAAAAGACATTACAAGATATATCACAGTCTGTATTGTTAATAAATGTAGATTAAAATACGAGAAACATAACCTTTATAGCCTTTTTGTAAATGTCTAAGTTTTTATTTGTATTGTGTCACTTCTTGTACGTGTACGTGATTACATTCAATCCGAGCCAGCTTAGTTCTCATTTGAATGTCACTCTTAAAACAATATTAGATCTACACCTATTTGCATATCGATAGATGAATAAATTGCTGCAATGATTATTTTGAAATGGTCTTTGACCAATGCTATGATGTTCGTAACAAGTAAATAATTGACAATATCTGAATGTAGCAAACAAATATGCAAATGTAGTCATAACAATAAAAGTTGACAACTGATCGTTGGTTTATGTTTTTTCCTTTTACAAAAGAGCTCTAAAATGTTAATAATTAGTGTAGCTACGAATTCTATAAAGTATACCGTTATGATTAACATTTGTCAACATACATTCTAGCACAATGTATCTACTATAAATCATTTGTCCAAACAATAACGTGTGTCGTCTATGTCATCGCAGAGCAATATACATATTACAGGGCCGCTAGTTGTTACGTTTATTTTTACAATTCTAGTACTGTGGACCCAATTAGTTCTAAGACAATGATTTATCAAAATTAAAATTCACTTTACCTTGTTAATCCAGCGAGTAACATCATAAACATACCGGCTCCCATAGAACTAATCGTATCATTTACGCGGTAAATTTTGTGATTACCATGGAGATGACCAATTATAATTTCCAGAAATACGGCTACCATAAAAAATGGACTTGACTGGAATAAATATAGAATATAAATTTTATGTAATATGTACTTACAACAGTGATTATAGAACCTGTACTTAAAACATGTTTTCTATCTCAATTGTAATAGGAAGCTATTGTACTATGCCTAATCTATACCCGAAACATGGTTAAAATTCGATTTACCCCTTTGATTTTGATCAATGAAATTTTACTTTAATGTTTTGTACATTCTTTTGTATTTTTTTTTTCACAACATTTGTACTTATAACAGGTAAGTTAACCAATAGCCGGACCCCCTCCCCCGCCAACATGAAACTTTTCTAAAGGGAGTAAACCATTGGCTGGTGTATAACCCCCCCCCCTGCAAAAAAAAAACATTGATACTCACCTCATTTATGTAATCTGGGACTTCATTAATAGTTGCAAATGATGACTCGTTTGGTGAAATAAGGTAAAACAGACGACGTGTCCCAGTTAAGGCGTCTACCTTAAATAGTCCTGAATCGTTCATAGCTGTCATGTTTATCAATCAACTGATATTTGTGTTCAGATCGGACTTTGCCCTCGGATGACAAGAAATGATAATAAATGCACCATTTATTCCCGGGGCAGTTGATACATAGCTGTGAAGAAAAGTAAGTGCTCAAAAGTGTGACCATTTTTATACATCGATAGTGGCAAAATCTATACCCATATTTATACCAAAGTACAATTTCTGTCATCACTGTTTATTCCAAATAAAACAGTTACCGTATTTGCTCTATTAAAAGAGCATCTCCAATAGAAGCACATGTCAGCCAACAGTTGCATAGTATATTGATTTATTAAAATATGTATTTTGACCATGGAAACACCTCTGTCACTTACATATGAGCATATTTTTAACACAATGTTCAGGTTATTTATACTAAATCGGAAAAGTGTTACCGATATTTATAGCTATCTTGACCAGGAATAAGACCGATACTTATACCTAAAATCCAAAAACGAGACCCTTTTCAGGGGCACGTCCCCATTAGGCAAGTTCTATGTATTGCCCCCCGGATATATTCACCATATATAATCACCAGTAGAAAAGTTCATTTAAATTTAGAGGAGCAATTCATCTATGATGACATATGAAAAGGGGGATTTGTAATTTAAACTCGTGCGTTCCCGTGTGCGTCCACGCGTCTGCACCTATATCTCGGACCAGCCTAGACCAACTTGGGACATATACTTTACACGTGAATACATATACACGTGCATTCTGTCGTGATCACGTTTAAAATGGCAGTATGACATTAATTAATTCTGAAAGAAATATCCAAATCAAATATTCATGTTATTCTGGAATCGATTTCAGCCATGTATTGATAGATACTGTTGAACTTGAAACATACATTAAACTTAATTAGATCTTGGTGCATTTAATTGTTTTGTTTTGTTTTGTTAGATCAGATTTAATTTGAGCATCCGGTGACTGATTTTGTTTAACGAATGCTGTCCCAGTGACATATCTCTGACATGCCTTGTTTATCATGCGATGTACATTTATACATGCACTCAGATATAAATTTCCACAGAAAATGGAGTATGCGTTGGTATTACGTATTCTACCTCTGAATTTTCCCAATACAAATGGACATCGCTATCAGCAAGAAATTAAGGGAATTCGGCACACGGAGTAATTACGAGTACATACACACTCCATTTACATAATTTTAGTTCGTGAAAAATGTTGATGTCGTAACAATCATTTCAATCAGTGTTTAGTTTATTAGCTTTATATATTTAACATAAATATTCCATGTATTTTAACTGCCGCAATTATTGAGTGGAAATGACTTACTTTAAAAATTTATGTTTTAAAGGGAAATCACATGATAAGCTTGTAAAAGAATAAAATTAACACGGACGTTAGCCGAGGGTATGATGTCAGATATTAAAAGGCGGTGGTCGTCGCGCTGCGCATGTGCGACATTTGTGTTGATAAATATTGATTTTCCCACAATTCAATACGCTCTCCTAAATTCCTCATTAAAACTTGATACTTGTTTGTTTGTTTGTTTGTACTCGTTGATCTGCACAACATCGCTATCATTGTTTATATAAGACCCATCTATCTCGCGCATGCGTGGCGCGACGACTACCATCCTTTAATTAGCGCAGGGTCAGTGCATTAGCTATTGGCATTGGTTTAGTGCAGCTATTATCAGTCATGTCATAGACTTTGGAAATCATGCATTATAAATTGTTGTCATTGGTGATTACAGCCGCTACATAGATGTGTCAAGTTGTTCCTTTTATTTCTAATTGGTGTATATAACTTAAATGACCTCCTGTTAAACCTGTTTATTTTTGTACTATTATGTACACCGGCATTCCAATGTCGGTCCAATCCAGCTCAATCTATTTTAAATGGCCGACTTGTTATTATCGTCACAGTCCAGGCTGTTATCACGAGCGTATATATCGTTGGTGGTTTATATGTGGACGTGATGTAGGTCAAGAGTTCGTAACGCACAGTCGCTTTACCTATACAATACAACGGGGTATTAATCAACGATGCCATTTACTGTTTTAGTACATATGATACTTTCTAGTTTAAGGTAACTAGCGACTGTGAAATTATGCATAAACGCATAATACAAATGCCAGCTCCAAAACTAATGTAAATATACATATAGTAAACGGTTTAAAGAACACAACGTACTTACAGAAGACGTCGGTCCGTCGTATCCTGACCGCTGCCAGAGAGTAAACAATTACACAATTCACGTACCTAGGGAGTCTTTAGCAAAGGTGATATCCCGACAACGAACCCTCTAAGTTACCGTGGCATAGCGTGTTCCTCTTCACTACTCCAGAGACACTTTGGTAAACGTTTGCTTGACTTGTACAAGCATACTAGCTTTTTCATTACAAATGGCAGATATTTCAAGGAGCGTGTCAGTGGTAATATTCTTACTGGGAAAAGTGGCTGTGTGGTAGACTGTCTTATTATCACGTGACAGTTTAGGGGCGGCCCATTTGATATCCTAGGGGGCCAGGCAGATTTTGTGGGGGAAAAGTTTCTATGAAAAATATTACACTATATGCATGTGAAAAAAATCTGAAACTTTGATCAAATATGGCTGCCTGGCGGTCATTTTGAATGTCAAAATACTGTGTGTCCATCGTCATTTCTCGGAGATGAACCGATTTTACTGATACTTGGTACAAAGAGATCGTGGCCACTGGTACAGATGCACATTGATTTTTTTTCAAGGAATCAATTAATGAGCTCATTTGCATATTTAATTATTAATTTGAATTCTTGTTAATATCTTGTGAACTAATAGTCCAAATCAGACCAAACTTGGTAGACTTGATTTGTCAATATAAGATATATGCCATGCAATATTGACTTTCAACTTAATTAATGAGCTAATTTGAATATTTAATTAATTTGGTGTTAATATCTTGTGAACTAATAGTTCATGTATTTCCTATTTAATATTGACACAATTGAATTTCCATATTCAATTGATTGTGAATTTTTGTTAAAATTGATGTAAATGTTTCCAAATTTAATAGAGATGTCCTAGCAGTTAACTTTGAGTAACATACCTTTGATTTTCAACTTAATCTTCCTACCCGATTTTATACATATACATTCAAACTTTATAATTCATTGCCAACTATAATCACATCTGACAAGTGTCATTTTCAGGTGACTTGTTCCGTGTTAAGATATTTCAGGTGTGATCCCGATAGAAGTAAACTCGAAAACAATATTGGAATACGAAACAGAATACGAAGAAAGCCTGTGTCGATACAGCACTCACATTTATCCGTAATTGGATTATTCACTAGTGTGATGGTGCTGTTTCGGGTTCCTTGTTGAACCCTTGATCAGTCGGAATAGTACTTGACCAAACCGTTCGATTTATTTAGCTTTCAGAATGTTCGACGTTATTACTTTCATTATACAAATTAGTTAAAATGGAAATTAATTCCTCGTCGTTTGGTGTGTCGTTTTTCACGAGTTTGTCAGTACGTAGAGTAGAACTTGTAAGTTTATCTTTCAAGTTAGTATTTCTGCGAAATGCAATAGTGAAGAATTTGGAAAAATATTACTGAGTAACTGATCATTCCGAATTAAGTGCCGTTTTTTAATAGAGCTCTTTTGAGCTTAGATCCTTGTATATAAGGATTGAATGTAGTTGTGAATATCGTTTGCCCTTCATTATTAGGCATTGATTCACGTAAATGTGAGATACGATTGTCATGTTCATTAATTGAAGAGTATCTTTAGATATCATTATCACGCAATTTTTCAATAAATAGATTACGTTTATGTAAGAAATCGTTTAGATTATTACATGTTCGAGCATACCGAATGGTTTCGCCTTTAATAAATCCTTTGAATACTGATGTAGGGTGAAACGAATTACGTTTTAACGTCAAATATATTCAGATTATGGTAGTGTTGACATGACTTGTGTCATGGAGTATTCAAATGTGAGCCGGTATTTGTTATGAAGCATATTAGCTTCCTGAAAAATGCGTGTAATTCAGGTACGGTGCATTTGAATACTATCAGGGGGAAATTCTCTTCTCTCGGGGTTCTCCACACGTGTCAAGGGGGAATAGCGTCTCGTCTCTCTATCGCGTCCCCTTGAGGTACGGGATCGGGAAAGTCACTTATGCTTTACAGTCAAATAAGACACACACAACGAAATACGTTTCAGCTCTCGTCTTAGTCGGTCAATCGAGCACTCTATAAGACACAGCGCCCTAGGGAAAAAATCCCCAAGACTATCGCAAGGCTGACCCAAGACTCTTTTAGAGTGCGTCAAGGCTCGCCCCAAGGCTCTCAAGGACCGGACTCGACTGCCCAGGACTGCGTCTATCGTGCTGTGTTCCCGAAGACCAACTCAAAACTCTCTTTATTCATTTTCAAAACTCTAACCAATTACAATACAGTAAAAAGACTCTAGGGCGTAACCTTCAATCATAAAGCCAATCACACTAAGTAC